CAGGCAAAGAGTGCTCGTAACCGCCCACCAGAGCCACGGTTGGACTGGAAGGCGGGAAGACTTAGAGCCCTTCTGGGCAAGCAGTTCCTGAGCCGAGGAAACAGGATACCAGGAAAAGTGGAAACCCCGGTGTTTACTGGGAGACAGGAAAAAGAGGCGGCCGGCGATTTGTTTCCATAGTGACTGTTATTGAAACAGGACAAACCGACGCCGCACCAGCGCTGGCTTAGCCCCCTGTTCCAGCTCCCTTAGAAGATGGCTTGAATCTGATGGGGTCGTTGACAGTGGACAAGAAGGTTATCACTCGTGACAATTCTGTTCTGCCACTCGCAAGTAAGACCTTTTTAAAGCAATAATAAAACCCATATATTTTAAGCCCGTGCCGTGCCAGTTCGAGGGCTTAAATAGAACGAGGGTTAGAGGAACTGTGTCCTGGGCGTTTGCCGAGGAAGCCTGGTTCAAGCTGCAAGACGTCTGCTCGCTGCTGGGGGCCTCTAAACTGCACCCGGGGAGCAGACACTGAACCTGCCCCAGGCAACCGGCCCCACCCCCACCCCACGGTGCTGCTGGGGGGGGGGTCACAGGAGGCCCCCGTGGTGCGGAGCCCATACAGCCCCCGCTCCCTCTCAGGAGGGCCACGGTGCCCTTGCATGGCAATGACCAGGAAGTCAGAGCCACAAAGGAAAAAACTGGCACGGTGACTTCCTGGCTCTGCTCTCGAGGGAAGAAAAGTCCAAAGAATGTTCTAGAAACCCCCAAGCGCCTGCTGGCTCCAAGAGTTGTTCCAAATGTGTGTGGCTGAAGCCACCAGGGGTTCAGGCCCCGTGGCCTATTTCTCTCCGTCTTCATCCACACAGTCTCCCCTTTCTTCGTCCGATTATTAATTCACCAAGCTCCGCTGAGTTCAGCAGCCAGCGATTGTCCTGGGCTCCGGGGAAGCGGCTCTCACGCTCACTAATTAACAGCAGGCTTTGGGGAATCCGGCTTAGGCAGGAGGGAGCTGGAGCTGGACTCAGACGCAGATCCTGGCTCTGACCCCCATTAACTGGGTTTTACTCTCTCCCCTCCCCCGCCACGCCCGTCCAGGCTGCACCGATCTGCTCCCTGATCAGTAGGTCTTGTCCTGAATCAAAGGTCCCGGGGAAACAGCCCTGGCTGGGACGCTCGGGGGGCGGCTGTCCCTCCCACTCTCCTTGTTCCGAAGGGAGCGCGGCCATTGGTTTATTTTTAAGTCCTCGTTGCTCAGGGGTGGCTGACATACTAGAAGCCAGAGAGCTGACTGTGTGAACACGACGGGGGTCAAGGCAGCTCCACGGTCCCCCAGCTCCTCCCACCCTGCGCTCCCTGTGACCAGTAATTGCCCTGCGATAGAAGCACCCTATGTAAGATCCACACTGTTTGCCAGCTTTAACCACACAACACGTGCTGTTAGCCGTAGACGCCCTGATCATCTTGGCCAGGAGCCTTGGCTGACGCCCCCACCCGCCCACCATCCCTCGCTGCCTCTGTGGGTCCCACTGGCTCAGATCCGCCCTGAGAGTGGAATCCTGCGAATCTGTCCCACTGTCCACTCACTCCCCACGCAGTGTGCTCCCAGAGCCCCGGATGACCAGTTTCGGTGGGACCTTTCGACCCAGGCGTGTGGCATGCAGCCGAGGGATGGGAGAGTTTGGTCCTTTGCGCCATGGTGACAAGCCACTGCCCTGACAGCCGCTGCTGGGGGAGTCAGCATCGACCTTCAAGGCAGTGGAGATGCCCAGGCCACCTGCTAGGGAGACGCAGACACACGATCACCGGCCGCCCAGAGGAGGCAGCCGCCTCGGGCCTGGGGACTCCAGTCATTCCTGGGTCTGGCCCTCACCTTGGTAAACGGCCTGACAGGCCCCGGGTTCTGTCCCCCGGGGCATCAAGTCCACTTTCGGCACTAGTCCCTGACTCGTGGCAGAGCGCATGGGAGGCCGGGCTGTGTTCAGGTGGTCCTGCAGGTGTGAGTGTGAGTGTGCGGGAGTGTGGGTTAGCAGACTTGCTCGCTTGGTCCTCTCCCCTCCGTTCCGGGACCAGGTGGGGTCAGCACTGATTCTGCATCCTGGTGTCTTTCTATGACCACTGAATAGTGTAATTTGCCCTTTTATAATAATAATAGTAATAGTAATAATAATAAAAGAAGCCCACTGCGTTCACAAACACTGCACTTGGAGAGGTCACACCTAACTGAACGCCGCAGTGTGGCCAGGTGAGGCCGCTGGAACAGAAGCCGCTTCCGCTCTGGGTGGCCCCTGGGCGAGAGCCAGGCGTGCAGCGAGGCCACCACAGGGGGACGTCCGGGTGCCCACTCCCCACGCGGCCAGCTCCTTCTAAAAGTCGTGAGCGCTCCGTTTCTCAGTGCGCAGCTTTATCCAAAAGCCAGCTGTGGATAAATCTCTCTTCTTCCAGTCTGTAAACAGGCACAACTTACAAAGAGGGAAAACCTAAAAGCATACGTTGCACTTGAGAAGAGAATGGGCCCGGCTCCTACTGACTCGAGATTCTGTGATAAATACACACGGGCATGTGTACGCCGCACTTCTTTGCTGGGCCAGGCCTGTGTCCTGTGAGCAGGGCAGCACTTGGGTAAGCTTACGCGCCAGGGCGAGTGTGTGTATCTCAGTAGCACATGTGATCTTGGGAACACAGCTCCGTGGGGACGCGAAGGATCTCGGTGAGAGCCTGCCCAGCACTGCAGGGCCGTGTGGGGACTCCAGGGAGTCTCACCCCGGACCATCTCACTCCAGACCCGGCTCCGCGCCTGTGGAACAAAGCTCCGCATGTCTCCAAGCATCTTGCTGGCTCTAATATTCTGGAACTCTCAAACTGTGTTCATCAGAAGCTCCAAAAAAATCCAAACCAACCAGGCCAGCACCCTGCAAACTAGCGTCCGGTCTGACGTGTGCTCTGTGCTGCTTCCGGGAGCCTCGTGTGTCTGCAAGGCAGAAGCTGCGGAACCGACATTCCCGGCGTGTCCCCTGCACAGCTGGAGATGACGACACCGTACGCACAGCAGGGCTGCAGGGCCCCAAGGGCGCGCACAGAGATCTGGGTGTTCCGACACAGCACGCACGCCTCTTCCTTTCTCCTCTTCTTTCCTCACGTGACGTCACTTCCTTCCAGGTCAGCACCTGCTACGGAACTCTCGAGGATCCCAAATCACCCACTCCTGGTTCTTTTTCTCTCTCTCCAGTCATCCACATCCTCTGTACCTGGGGGGGAGGGGAGGGGTGCTGGCAGTAATCCACACTAACATGTGAACGACCCACCACCGCCCAGTCTGCGATCCCTCTCCCAGGGAACCAGGACTCCGGGGAACATCAAGGCCGGGTTCCCTTCCTGGGAAGAGCTGTTATTCGGTCCGCTGAAGCAGGGTGGCCTGGTTTTCAACCCTGGTCCCCTCTCTGCTGCACGCCAGTGGTACTGCTCATGGCATCTCGAAACCGCAGTTTCCACGCTTCTGATAACGCGCCTCTGCCAGATTTAACAACAACAGCCTCTGCCAGATTTAACAACAACAACAAAGCACCCACCCAGGTGATTGACTGATCTTCCCCTACTGAGGAACTGCACAAAAATTATGGAAAATGAGACAAAAAGGCAAGTTTATTTTGGTGCAAAAAACCCTTACCCCACGCGAATGAGGGCTCTTCTAAAGGTTCTGGAAGAGGCACACTATGAAAAACGGTGAGCAGTTCAAGACCTTTCGCACTGATGAGCTTTTACTTCCATTTTCCCCCAAAATTTTTGAAGAGCCTTGTGTACATGCACACCTACTGCCCTAATACGCTACTTACTATAAAAAGTATTTTAAAAGATGTGATAAAACAGTATTTCCAACTACTTTCACCGCAGGAAAAGTGTCTTTGCTCTCGCTCCACCGTGTCCGGAGTGCACGCAGTGAGACTACACCTGCGCCTCACGTGTACACAAATACACGCGCAAACAGCCCAGAGAGCGCGCGCACACACACACACACACACACGCCCCCGGGTGCTCTCTGACCCGCACGGGGTGGGGGAGAATCGCCCGTCCAATCCCAGGACAGCGAGGTTTTCCTAAGCCACTGAGAAACAGGGCGCAGCCGGATGGCTGAGCCCCCACCCCAGGTACCAGTTGTGGGGTGCAGCCGGGGTGCCTCACTTGAACAGGCTCGGGTCCGTGCCCGGGGGAGCTCCGGCCTTTCACACACTTCAGAGAGCAAGCTCTTTAAAAAGACACAGCGTCCCAACTTTCCCAACATCCGTGACCCTGGCAACGAAGGCTCGGGCCAAGGGCGGCCCCCGCGGGGCCCTCGCGCCAGGCCAAGCCCGGCCTCCTCCCACAGGGCAGCCTGAGAACGCCGGCGCCTGGGCCCCGCTGCCCCTGGCCCGGAATTTCAATGCTCGGAAAACGCCATCTTGCTGCGGGCGCTCCGGGGCTGGAGCCCCGAGGCCGGGGCGTCGGCGGCAGGTGCCCCTCTGCAGCCGCGCCGGGAACTGCGGCGGGAGGCGGCCCGGAGCGCTCCGGTCACGCGGGCAGCTTCTCCCTTCAAGGGGGCCCGCGCCCAGGAGAAACCGGTCTTCGCAGTCTGCCTTTTAAGGCATTGTTTCCAGCGGAAGACCGAGAGCTCCGCGGGGACCCTGCGGGCTGGGGCGGGATCCCCGGAGTCGCCGCGGGACTCAGCCCTGCGGGGCGCACCGCAGGCGCTATTTTACAAACATCACGACGACGCCACCAGGCACTCCTGCGACGGCGCGCCCTCCCGCCGGCTCTGACAAGTCTGCGTGGGCAGCGGCGGCGGCCTGGGGTGCGGGTCTCCGGAGCGCGGCTCGGGCCGCGGGGGCCAAGGCCTGCGCGCCGCCGCCTCCCCGGGCACCGCAGTCCTGGGCCGCGCGTCTGGTCCTCCCGCGCCCCAACCAGGAGCCTCTCCTCTCCGGCCACCTGGCAGCGCTTCCCGGGCCTCAGGCGCCTCCTTCCCGGGCTGCAGGACTCACTTTTCTGCCTCAGCTCCTCGGATCGCTGTGCGCCCCCCGCCTTTTACCTCCCACGTGGCTGCGCTGCTGCGAGGAGGCCGCCATGTTTACCCACCATGCCCCGCGGAGAGCACGTGGTCAGGCGGGTCACGTGCTGCGGAGATGGGTCACGTGGTCGGCTGGCGCGCAGTCCCGGGGACCTAACATGGCGGCCCGCGTCTGGCTGCGAGGAGCACAGGCCTCCCACGCCCGGGGCAGCCGGAACGCTCGGGAAAGAGGGGTTCGCACCTTTGCCCGCTGCCCCTCCGGGCACAAGCAGAGCCGTGGTTCATGTCTGGTTGTGGCCATCGGGCGTGTGCCCGCAGGCGGAAGATCTCTCTCCCTCTTTGACTTTCAAATAAATAACTTAAAAATTTTTCTTTTTATTTATTTGAAAGGTGGAGTGACAGAGAGAGGGAAAGACCGTTGTTCCCTCCACCGGTTCGCTTCTTAAACGGCCACCACGGGCAGGGGCGAGGCCAGGCCAGGCTGAGCCAGGAGCCAGGGGCGCCACGCAGTCCGCCTCGGGCCAGCCGCCTCCGCTTCCCCAGGCCACAGCAGGGCGCTGGGTCGGAGGTGGGGCGGCCGGGGCGGGATGCCGGCACTGCGGGCAGAGGCTTGCAGCGCTGGCCACTGGATCTTAAAAAAGGACAAAAAATACATTAAGAATCTGTTCCGATGACAGACGTCTACCTTAAACGTGGCTAAATCTAAGTAGCTCCAAAGGTGGCGAGAACCCTCGCGCGTCTCGCTGCCCGCAGGTGGCTGGAGCGAAGGCGCCCGCGGCTGACCAGCAGGTTTCCCAAGGACCAGGGCTCCATCTGGGCCGGCCCAGAGCCCCGTGATGCGGGGCTGCGCGGCACAGGAACGAGAGTAACTGCACCACGCACACCTTCCCAGCCCAGGCGCGCGCCCGCGCTGCGTGCGGGAGCGCGGGCGGGCGGGGGCGCGGGCGCGGGCGCGGGCGCGCGCTGCCCTCCCGGTCCCTGCCCAGCGCCGGCCTCGCGCTCCGGTGCGTCTGCACCTGTGCCAGGTGGGCTCCGGTCCCGAGTGCAGCCAGAGCCGGAGACTTAGGCACCGCTGCCACCTGGTGGCCGTACACCCAAGCTACAACGACAGGGGTTTTTTGGTTCGCTTTTTACCGAATAAATAAAATCCCCCCTTAAAAGTTGAAAGCCGGAGCCTGAAGCTAGGAAGCGGCAAGATACATGACGGGCAGCTGAGGGCCTGGGCGGGGTGGGATGTGGGGTGGTACCGAGAGTCTTCGCAGGACTGGAAATGTTTTGAATTAAGAAAATGAAGGAACCGCAGTGTCAAAGACAACGTTCCAGTTATGTGTCTCGCTCGCCATTTTTGGAGTTCTCTGTTTTACTCCTGCCTTCCAAGGTTATGTCAGCTCGCTTTCAGCAAGACTGTTAATAGCATCTAAACGGAAATGCAGGCAAGGACACTAGCAGGCCACTGCTTCCACCTTTGACCTCTGACCCTTGCCCTGGGCAGTTCTGGAGGGGGCCTGGCTTTGAGCAGAACCAGCCGAGACAACGATGCTCGCCCCATTCCGGACAGTAACCCTCCAGGCTGGCGTCCAACGAGCGGGAGTGTGGTGATCGCTTGTGACTGCTCATTAGGGACCGACTTAGCTCTGTGACAGAGGCAGACGAGAGACAAGCGCTCTCCAGCCTGCGCACTCTCGCTGTGTGGCCACGGTGTAGGAGGAAGGGGTGCAGAATCGCAGGGGGGCGACCACGGGCGGGCGCCCCAGGTGAGGGGGACCCGCGCGGCGGGACAGCCTGAGGGGCGTCCCCCAGTGTTTGCAGCCTGGCCACGGTGAGATGGTGGCCTCCATGCCCGGCGCCTGGGCTTGTGTGGGTCACAGGGCGTGGGAGGACCCGGCCTGCCTGCTTACCCCTCTTCCTCAACGCCATCACCACTCCACTCACCCAAGCTTCGAGGTGTGTCCCTGCTGGTGAGACGGGCAGGACCAGGCAGGGCTGTGAGCTCCTGGACCGTGCAGGACACGGGCTCCGAGTTTCCCAGAGGGGCCCCCTTATCAGAATCTCGTCCCACGAAGATTGGGCCTGGTTCCTCACATTTGCAACCTGGCTGACCGTGACCTCTGAACTCAGAAAGCCCCAAAGCCGCTGCTCGTGGCTGGCTCAGGGCAGGGCCCCTGGCGTCCATGTCCTCCGGGTGCCACCTGCCCCTTAGGTTGCCCCCCCCCCCCCCAGGCACTTCAGGCCTTTTCCACTTTGGCTCCGCCTCCGCTGGGGTAGAGATTGGGATCTGGGGTTGCAGGGACCGGGGTCAAAACCTGGCTCCAGCAGGAGGCACTGTGGGACCCTGGGGGCTGACGGCCCCGCTGGGTGGGATTTTCCTTACAGGAACGAGCGACGTGGCCCCTCCTCGTCCTCGGGAGCACTGAAAGGCGGCTTCGGCGCAGGGCCCAGGCGCATCTCCTTGGCTCACCTGCACCCACTGCCTTGCGGTGCTGGCTTCCCCTTGCCTGGCTCCAGAGGCCGCCCTGTGGCTGCTCCAGCCTGAGCTTCTGCTGGCCAGGCAGCGGCTGCAGAGCTGAGAACCCAAAATTCATGCTTTCCGGGGCCCTGCACAACCCACCCTCCGCATCAACGCCCCACCCTCTGCATCAACGCTGGGGTCTGGGGCCCTGCACGCCCCATGCTCTACATCAACACTGGGGACTGTGTGAGGCCTTGGGCCTTGCACTCTGCTCAGCCATTCACAGGAGGAGGAGGAAGAGGAGGAGGAGGAAGAGGAGGAGGAGGAAGAGGAGGAGGAGGAGGGCAGAGGGGAGGCGGGGTGGGGGGGGACAGGCTCCCACTCACAGCACCCACATGGGAGCCCCAGTTTGAGTCCCGGCTGACTGTTCCGCTTCCGATCCAGCTTGGGCCCCTGCACCCACGTGGGAGGCCAGGGCAGAGTTCCTGGCTGCTGGCTCCTGCCTGGCCAGACCCGGATGCTGTAGCCATTTAAGGAGTGAACCGGTGGATGGAAGATCTTTCTCTGTTGCTCTGCTTTCAATAAATTAAAATGTGTTTGTTTCTGCGGAATTAGATAAAATCTTTGTGTAAAATGATTCTGGGCCGGCGCCACGGCTCACTAGGCTAATCCTCTGCCTGCGGCGCCAGCACACCAGGTTCTAGTCCTGGTCGGGGCGCCGGATTCTGTCCTGGTTGCCCCTCTTCCAGGCCAGCTCTCTGCTGTGGCCCGGGAGTGCAGTGGAGGATGGCCCAAGTGCTTGGGCCCTGCACCCCATGGGAGACCAGGAGAAGCACCTTGCTCCTGCCATCGGATCAGCGCAGTGCGCCGGCCGCAGTGTGCCAGCCATTGGAGGGTGAACCAACGGCAAAGGAAGACCTTTCTCTCTGTCTCTCTCTCTGTGTCCACTCTGCCTGTCAAAAAAAAAAAAAAATGATTCTGGCCCTCTAGAGAGCCTGGGCCCGTATAGGGAGGGGAGGGGACACGCGCCCCTCAGGGCCGGCCAACACTCCCAGGGCAGACGCCCTCTTGGGAGACCCTGACACTGACTGGCAAAGCCTGCCCTGCCCCCCTGGGCAGCTCCTGAGTCTGCAGGGTGCGTGGGGCTGCGGCCAGGAGGCAGAGCTGCCTGCTCCATCTCGGGGGCCAGGAGGCAGAGCCGCCTGCTCCATCTCGGGGGCCAGGAGCCGGCAGGTTGCAGCCAGGCCAGCCTGGGCTCCTCCCCCGCCTGCTGAGTGACTGCCCCGTGCAGGGGAGGATGGTCGGTGCCCCAACGTGTGCACGCAGGCAGCACATGGCTCAGTCCTGAGAGCTGCTTTGCTGGCACTTCGAAGCTTCCTGTGCTGGCTCCCGGGGGCCATAAGCCTCTGGCCACCTGTCTGCAGCCACACCCACCATGCAAGTCCCCTGCAAGCCGAGTGGGTGGCCTGTGGCCCGGAAATCTTGCACCCAGGGCAGCCCCAGGCCGTGCGTGGCCCGAGTAGGCCCTCGGATCTCCTGGGGCAATGACAACACTCCTGGTGGTGGACACTGGGGCAGCAGGCAGAGGCAGCCATGGCAACGCACTCCAGGGGAAGGAGAGAGCCCGGGGGGCAGCACCCCACCTCCCATGCTGCTAGGGGCCCGTTTTCTAGATGCTTCCATGGAACTGGGGACTTGCATCAGGCGGTGCTAGGCGTGGGAGGACAGAGCTCATAGGCCAGGTGGAGCCACAGAGCCTGCCAGCAGGGGGCAGTGTGCCTTACAGTCTAGGCAAGTCTAGGTTAGTCCCTTTGGCCCTGGAGCCATGATCCTGCTCACGCACTGGAGGCCTGGGAGCCTCATGCTGGCATTGCCCCTTGGCTGTTGGGGGCCCAGCCAGAAGCCTGGGTCAGGGGAGCCAGGCTGCGTTCATGGGGTAGGGCTGGGTGTGGATCTGCTGGGCACAGCCTAAGTTTAGGGGCAGAGGATGACGTGTGGGGTGGGGCAGGCAGGCGTCAAGGGCGTGGAAGAACCAGAAAGCGATTCTCGGGCACATTGGTGATGGCAAATAAATAAAGTGTGGCCAAAGACGAGGGCCTTCAGAGTGTGGCGTGAGCAGGGTTGCTCTCCTGGGACGCAAGGCAGACGTCCCTGGGGACGACGGAAATGAAGGGAAATTTCAGAAGCCAGAAAAGGTCTGGGGGCCCAGGGCGGAGGTCAGCTGCTGCTTTGTGTAAGGGAAGGTTGTGGCAACCACTCAGGGCCTGCGGGCTGTCTCTGTGACTTGACCGCCACGGCAGGAAGGTGCCACACACCCTGCAGAAACAAGCGGGCATGACTGTGTCCCACAGAACCCCCGTCACAGCAAGCACTGGCCCTCAGGCCCAGTCTGCTGACCCCTGGTTGGGGATGGGAGTGTGGACATTACCCCAAGACCCAAAACCTAAGCCTTGATCTGCCCTCAGGCCTCCCGTTCCTCTCTCTGAGCCAGTTTCTTCATTAGAATGGGGGGCTCGGAGTGCCTACCTCTGGAGCTGGTGTCACAGGGGCAAAGCTCCCGGCACCCTGCAGCCTGCTCACCTGCAGGACTTCCCACTGGAGCAGTCGCAGGGGC